TTCTCTTTTGTCTCAACTTCTTTCACTGGCGGGTCAGGGTTCTTTGACTCGGTTTGTTTTTCAATGAAATTCACGAACTTTGCAATAAGCTCTTGGTTCGTTATTGAAAGTACATCTGGCTTCTTTTCTTCTGGTTCTATTGACTTTTCAGTTTGAATAGAAGGTTTATTGGGCTTCGCTCTCGCTGCCATGCACCTTAATGTTGTCGCTTTCTGCATTCGCTAATGGAACCTTTCTTTTTCTTACGTATATTTTACCATCTTTACTCTGACTTACGTAATAGAAAAGGATGTTGTATTCCTCTTGCGTCATTTAATATAATAGACTCTCGCTCTGATTTTGACAAGCTCATTTTACATCGGTTAAAGTTTTAATTTTGTTTTTTATCTGCAGTCAAATGACTCAGACAAGCCCTACGGACAAGACCCAAGGGTCATAGATGTTGAAGCATTGAAGAAAGAAATTCGTGAGCAAATTTTATCCGAACTGAAGGAACAAAAACAAGAACAAAAGCCAGAGAGACCAAAGAGAAAACTTAGTGAAAAACAACTTGCTGCATTAGCTGCTGGAAGACAAAAGAACCCACGTTTGCTGGCGAAGAAAGCTAGAGAAGAAGCGCAAAGGAAGCAAAAAGCTAAAGAAGCTGAAGCAAAGAAAGAGTAAATGGTTTATTTTTATCCGAATTAAATGTATAGACAAATACCTTTAACTGTTGCGTTCAGTAGTGAAAACCCTGACGTCAAAATAAAGGGGAACAGAGTAACGTTTAAGTTTCCAACAGACTGGATTGTGAACATAAATGAAGAGAAGTACATTGGCATAACATCTATGTATATAACACGTGCTTTCAGGAAAGGTTGACTTTATACTTCAAGTCGAGATAGAAAATGACGAACAGTCTTTAAGCGCCCAAAACATTCACATATACAAATACTTTAAAGACGATACAACTTTACAAGAATGTATGATTTCATTTAATGAGATGTTCGAGAAAAAGTTCAACATTGAAGTACAAACTTTACAGCCTTTACGTGAGTTTCTTGCACAACTGAAAGAAGAAGGTAGTCAGCCACAACTTATAGACTTTCATTATGAATTTAATGAAAATGAAGATGGAACTCATGACTGTCAGTTTGTTATATATTTCACCATTCAATGAAGTAGCTAAAGAGAAAGAAAATCCATTACGTATAAGATTTCAAATTCTGAACCAATGAAGACTTCAAGAATGTTTTCAATTATGATGCAATGCTTCCGAGGAAAAATGAATTTTCAAAGATTGTAACACCTGGCATTTGGATAGAAAGCAAGCTATATTATATTCAAACTTAAGTAAGGGAGTTGAAAATGAGTTCATTGGTCATACAAGAACTTCACCACTTCCTAACCCTAAATACTATAAATTAACTGGCTTCAATCGTGAGTTTTGGATAGACATGTTCTCCACTCATGACCATAACTGCCCAGTGTTCTTACCTCCAGACCATAAGGACTGTCTCTACATTGAAGCACAACTCTTAAACTCTACCATCGCAGTATTGTAAAATCTACGCTACTTTTATTTTTTTCTGAAAATTTTATTTGAGTGAAAGGCATGGAAGGTGAAGGACATTGGCAAACACTCGAACATAACAATGACTATGAAATCTTTTCAGAGTACCCATATCCAATTAGGCGCATAAGTAACAAAAGAGTTGTAAGTGAGTTTGACAACGGTGATGGTTATATTTGTGTTTATTTAAACAAACATAAACTCTTTAAGCATAAAATTGTTGCAAATCAATTTATACCGAATCCTGAAGGACTTCGAGAAGTAGACCATATAAACAGAGACAGAGGAGACTTTCATATCTCAAACTTAAGGTGGGTGTCGAGAAGACAAAACATGAGAAATATTTCTGGTTCGAATGGCTATTGGTTTGACATTGTAGACACTCTTCCTGAAGATGCTGTTGAAATTATACAATACTCTAAATTTACTCTAGAAAATTACTACTATGTCCCAAGTGAAGATGTCTTTTACTATTTCATGGGAACTCAATACAGACGAATGAATGTCTTAAGACAGTATAGCAAAGATTATATAAACATTACAGATGTAGAAGGAAGAAGAACAAAGCTGTCTATTGCAAAGTTTAAGAGAGACAATGGTTATACATAAATGACAAAAATATATGACCTCATTATTTTTATCACGAATGACCTCATTGCTGACAAAAATAAATGACCTCAGAACTTAAGCTTTCTTATGAATAAAGTCTTAGTCTGAATAGAAAAGTTAAACTTTTCAGCAAAGCAAGGACTAGAAGACTTACATAAGTCAAATCCAATCTCTTAACCATCATGAAGTGCTTTGTAAAGTTTCATTAAACTGAACTCAGAGTCTTTGTCATATGTTCCAACAGGTATGTGAATGTTCTTATCTTCATTGTAATAGCATTGTATAGCTTCAGGAAACATTTCATTAGCTGTTAAAGCAAGAACGTCTTGTTTTACACCTTTACAACGTGCATGAAATGCAACTTCATTTAAATCATTCGTGAGTAAGTCTATGTAAGTCTTCTTTCCACAAAATATTGACTTGTATGCTAAACTTTGTTTTCCAGGTGTTATTTCTGCAAAGTCAGAATGGAACTGACCTAATGTTTTACCAATAAGTTCTCTACCGTATCTCTTCTTAAACTCTGCTGCAAGCTTTGGTATGTCTTCATTGAAAATATGCATGCTATCACAGTCCTGGTAAAATATTTGAAGTCCCATGTCTTCAGCAGTACAGAATACTTCACACATTATTCTCTTCGACATAGATAGAATATTAACACCAAGTGGACAGAAGTTAAAGTGTCTGCAAATGCTTTTCGTTAGCTTGAAAATAGTTTTATCTGAACCATCCAAACCTTCGAACTTCACTATATGGTTGTAGTTTCTGATGGCATATCTTATAGCATCTTTGTCATCTACTATGGTTATTTTTGACTCAATAGGAGATAGAATAGTTTTGCCATAAATACTGTTCAGAATGAGCTTTATATTTTCTTGCAAAGGATTTCCTTCTTTCTTATACTTTAACCTTAACTCAAACAACTTCTTTACTTCATCTCTTATTCTAATATCTCTGTTTCCATCGTAATAGTATCCTTGCAACACTTCACATTTGACACCTTGATATTTTATGAGGTCTTGTAATGTTATATGGTCAACATACATTAAACAGCAAGTGTTTGAACTTCTGGGAACGTTAAGTTCTGGATTTAGTTCAGGGTCACAAACTATTAAAGGAAAGTGTCTATGTATTCCAATCTCTGTTATCTTAATGAGAACAAAGAAGCCAGACATAAACTTTTCACCAATGGGTTCCTTTTGGTCGTCATCGAATAAATGTCTCATGAGATACTCTGTGCTTAAGCATCTCATCCTTCATAACCTTTGGAATTCCTTCTAAAGTATAAAGTCTTGCTATAGCTGATGGATATAATGAAACAGCGTCGAAGTCAGCAATGAGTTTCTTTTGCTCTTTTTGTTTCATGTTATCTGACAACATACATCTTCCACCTTGAATGCATCTCGAAATAAATTCTCTTGGTTTATTTGAGAGGTCATAAAGATTTCCATTCGGGAAGTATACTCTGTTCTCAAACAATTTGTTAGCAATTAGAACAAATACTAACGTAGTCATAAACGTTTAAATCAAACTCTTTCAATAAGTCATTGCGGAACTTTACAAAACCTTCTCTTAAAATTCTTACTTCTTGTTTGCAGTAAAACGTGCTATATTTTTCTAAGTCGAAGTGGTTCTCATCTATTCTGCAACCTTTGATGGAATCTATGTTTTTCATGAACGTTTCAATATCTTTTACAAACTTACACATGCTTCAGAAATGACACCAGTTCTGTTGTCATTTGCTAACAAACACTGCTGTAGTAGTTATATGGAAATACTTCTTTCGGTCCTGTTTGTAAGTTAAACATAGCAGGAAATAGTTTAAGCTTCTTATTTATAACACTGTAAGAGTCTTTTATAATAATTGCCCTTCCTTTATATAACCAGTTATTTGCATTGTTCGTGAACCTTTAATGATGGGAGTTCCTTTCACTTCTGTCATGTGTCTTAAGATGAAGTTTATATCATAACTGAGGTTATGGAAATATATTAAACTCTTGTCAGGAAGTCGCTCCAAAAATTCTGTTGCACAGTTTTGACCCCATATGCTTTCACTCACTGAACCATCTTCACTGTCGTAACATATGTTAAAAGCTTTATGAAAGCCATCGGTACTGCACTCAAAGTCAGCAAAGAAAACATGCTCAGGAATGAACTTGCACTTATTTTTATTTACTTCTTTTGACTCTGCTTTCTTCTTCAGTTGTACACAATACTTTGGAGCATATGTCAAATCTTTAAATGGTGCAAGGTTCTGTTTATATAAGTCAGTCGTATATGTGAAAAGTTCTCCATAAGAAATAGGTTCGAAATATTTGCACTCCCACAATGTTTTCATAACATCCATAGCGGTGTAGTTCTATCCATGCGAACTACATATTTATCTTCTCTCTTTGTATAAATCTTCATCTGTTTTTCAATGTTCATTCCACCACACTCCTTCAAGATTTCTATATAGTTGCGAATGAAATATGTTGTCATTGGTAATCTTTCGTTTAGCATGTAGTGGTCTTCAACAAGAAGTAAGTCAATAGTTCGAACAGTTTCACATTCTTTTGGTATATATCTCTTTATTTCATTATGTCTTGAGTCATTGAAATAACCAATGGTAACATTAAATGCTATACCTGTTGCGTCAGAAATTTCTTGTACTTTACTTTGAGGAAAGTCTCTAACACGAATGACTTCTCTCATGTGGTCAATAGTTTCTTCATTTACTCCAGCCTGAATGCAAGCATAAACGAAGCAGTTATCTTCTGTCATAAGTGTTGCAGTTCTTTTGTTCAGTTCATTGAAGATTTGGTAGCGTTCAAGATTTATAGGTAATGTGCAAAGATACTTCCAGAACTGACCGCTTCTCTTCTTATAAAACTTCTTTTCACCATTATCTTTCCAAAAGCTTTCTATAAGTGCTGGGTTTCCTGTTTGCTTAAGAGCTTCCAAAATGGCTTTCTGGTCATTTGTCAGTGTGCTTTCATCTCTATATGGTCTCTTTTTTGGTTTGCCTTTCTTTACATCTGACATCGTTAAGCCTTCATATTCTGTTAAATCATACATCTTTATTTCAGTAAGATTCTTTATGTTTGTCAAGAAGAAGTCATAGTGCATTTCAACAATACCTGCAGCATTTGCTTCTATCTCTGATATAAAGTTCTCCTTCAAGAGCTGATGTAGTAATGTTCCAATATTATTGAGGTTTAACGTAGAACATTCATACTTTCCACCAAGTTTATAACATACCATCCATCTTTGTTGGGAGTTTATTTTAATCTTCTCTAAGAGTCTCATGAAAACCTTACCGAAATGTTTGTGTAAGTAGTCTCTGTTTGGTTCATCTAAAGCTTCGATGTTAAAGTCAATGAGTCTATTGCCTGACTTCACATTTCTCTTCCTATTCTCTTCATCTTTCTTTAACCATCTCTCACCTTCTTTTGGTTTGTCGTCAATGGAACGAATGACATCGTTAGCTTTGCGAACTTGTTCTATAGCGCTCTTAAACATCTCTCTTCTCTGTTGTTTCAGTGTGTCGTCTCTTCTTCTTGTTTCACCAACGTTCGCATTTGTAATGTCAAACATCTCACGCCTTACTTCATGTGGTACTGAACGTCTATGATATAAGTCAATAGCAACGTCATTTAAAGGAAAAGTTCTTGCATGGACTTCGTCCTCACCGCGTTGCGGCTTTATGAACTCATGAATTCTATCATAAGTTATTTCACCATTGTAGTCTTTAATGAAGCCAGCGAGTGCTTTTTTGTTTGTTGCGTAATGCTTTGCAACATCTATGTTAGCTTCTGTAAGAAGTTGTTTTATTTCCGAGTGTTCTAACTTAGACAACTTCCGATACATCTTTAGTAGGAAATAAAAAAATATTTTTTTGAAAAAATTAGATTAGATTTTTTTAAGTTATTTTTCAAAATAATTTAATATTTTTATTTTAATGAAACACATGCAAGATTGCAAGTTCTTTTCATACAATGCTCTCGCTAATGCCATCAAGAATGAGTTCAATAATGCTTCAAATGTTAATGTTATCTTTAACAAGAAGTTTGTGAAAGAATCTAAGTTCGGTCAGTATGTCAGACCATTAGCTATCGTCATTGACCGCAAACGTTATACTTCACAAGAGTTAGCAGTAGTTTTGAAACAAAAGGGTTTCTTCGTGAATGTCAAAGATACTCATTATACTGTTATAAAGAACTCTAACATTGACTTCTTCAGTATTGCTATGAATCTTTCCGAACAGAAAGAATATAAGAAGGGTGAAACAAATGTGAAATATTATCCTTCATCTCTGAAGACAATAACGAACAAAGATGTTATACAGAAATTCTTACCAAAGGTTGAAGAAGCTTCTATTGACATTGACGAAGGAAGTGAAATGGTTGAAGAAATAGACCCTGAAGTTATTTAAGCAAAAATATATTTTTGAATAACTGAAAGTGTCACCACGTCACCATGTGCTACCAGGTTAATTAACTTCTTTTAAAAATGATGACAACATGACATTTTGACAACAGTCCAGGAAATAAATTTTATCGTTAATGTTTACGTTAATGTTTTTTCATTAAATTTTGACAAAGTGCAAATCTTCACTTCGTCAAAAAGTTAATGTTTTTCATTGAAATCGGTAAGTTTTCATTCTTCCTCTTTGAAGTTGTCGAAATATTCTGTTATCTTTTCCTTCAGTAATGTTAAGTCTTCTTTGAATGTAAGTATTGTGCAACCTTTGATGTCATAGTGTGTTTGAGGAAGAGTATTTTTGACAATTTCCTTTATTTGCTCATTCGGTGTCATTGAAATCGGTAAGTTTTCACGATAGAACCAGTTTCTGTCAGATTTATATATCTTAGCTAAGTCATAAAAGCTTTTATTGTTTCTTCTGACTAAATGTAACATAACCATATCTCTGTCTTCTTCTTTCTCCAACTCTTCAGTATATATCATATACTTATAACTCTTTTCCTTTCCTTTTGGTACTGAACGCGGTATTCTTTTCTGTATGCTTTTGTCTTTGGATTCAATGACTTCATCTTTTGCATGAAGTTTCTTTTCCATCTCTCCACGTTCTGCTTTATATAGTTCATCTAACATCATGAAAATATAACAAGCATAACGAGGTGAAGCCCACATTGCTATAGCGTTTACTAAAAGTCTATGAACATAATAACCTTTCAAACCAGGAGCCAAATTCTTGCGATTTTCATACGGAATCTCTTCCCTCGGAAAACCGGGGGAAGCAATCATATGAGGAAATTCTTCTAAAAGTTCTTTTGTCTGTTGGTTTTCAAACCAATGATATGCTTGCTTTGTAGAACGAAGAGCATTCATTATACTTTGCATTTGGTACATGTCATCTTTGACTGAACGAATGAGACGTAACTGTTTGTTATACTGTATGTACTCGTATTCTTCATTGATGGCTTCATGAACGATAGCAGTTGTTGTGTTCTCTGATGTTGACATTACTGTCTTTACATACGAGATAAAAATTTTTGTTAGGAAAAAATTAGCGTTATTTTCTGACTTTCACAAAAGACCAAAAATAAACGCTTTACATGTATTTTTCAGCAACTTCGTCAAATAATTTTATAGCTTTATCTATCTCATCTACTTCAAACGTTTCTTTACCTTTTATGGGAGCACCATATATTTTCTCAAACTTTTCGAGTAGTTCTGTTTCTGCGGCTCTCATATCATTAACGAACACAACCTTGATTCTATTGACTGTACTGTCATATCTTTGAGTTATATTATATGTTCTTCCTATCTTATATCTCTTTGTATTGAAGTCCTTCGGTTTCTGAACGATGTAAAGTAAGCCTTCACTGCAACGTTCTGAGTCGAATGAACCATATGTTATGAAGTTATATCCAACAACAGGGTCAATCCACAGAAGAATTATTGGTATAAGACTTTTGTCGATGAGATATGCTGTGGTTCCATAGAATCTTACCGATATCATAAGCTCAGGATTTCTTGTCAAATTTTCTGAGTAGAAGCAATTCTAACCCAGTCCTTTGTTTTCTTTCCAGATGGTGTTATAATGTCTGACAAAGAATATTTGTTGTATTTCTTACAGTATCTTACGTTTAAATCACCAATTCTAACCACTTTGGTGTCATTGTCAATCTTTCTAACTGTTTCAAACTCAATGTTTGTCATTACTGTCTTTACATATGAGATAAAAAAATAAATAAAAATAAAACTAACTTTATTTTTATCTTTTATGAAAATTCATGAAATTTGGTCATTTTTCAGCAACAAAATGAAAAAGTTTAGAAGAATTTTCTTATTCTTTCTGGCATATTTTTGTCTTTCCAGTACTCCCGCTCTAATGGTCCCAGATGTGTTGGCTTTGACTCTCTCAAGTTCTTAGATGGTATAACATCTTCAACGCCTCCTTCATATCTTACTTTATAAGTGTCATCGTTTGTGTTATAGCCAAGTATTTCAATAACCACTCCTCGCTTTGCTTCGTCAATGGTTTCAGCAAGTTTGCCATTACTACTTTCGACTAATTTATGACGAGGATAAAACGCAATAGAGTCGTCGGCAGCTTTTATAAGATATCCATTACCTTGCGTAGAGTCTACGATATAATAATTTCGACTTAACCTTAAACGTTTCTTTGTCAACGGTTTGTCGTCAAGAACTACACGAACTTTTGTACCAGGAATGAGGGTAAATTGTGTTGAATTTCTGATATTTTGTGTTTGGCTTCGTTTCTTTTGTATATACTTTTCTTCTTGTTGTTGTGTCATTAAATTTGGTGTATGTCCTGTTGTAGAATGTGTTGAGGAATTATATACTTCGAGAAAATGTTTCATTGTTTCTTCGGTAAAGTCTCGCTCTTGATTTAAATCTCTGAGAGTCCTTATGAAGCGGTTTATGATGCCGAGTATGTTATGGTTATGGTCTTCAGTAGTGTAGTGAGTTATGTTATGCTTAATGAGAAATTCTGTGATTTCGTTGCTGAGGTATGCTGAATCCTGGTCTGATGTTAAAGTACTTGGGTTATGTTCTGCTACAAACTTTTGTAAAACTCTTAACACTTCACGAGTTCCTTTTTCTTCATTGGATATGCATATGCTTTACGAGTGTTAACATTTATGAAGATGAGGAATGGTTTATGTCCTCCTTTTCTGCTTTGAATGAGAGTGTCAAATTGGTATGCGTCAGGAGTGTTGGAGTAAATTGGTAAAAAGTAGTCGTAAGGATTTATTTTTGTTTGATGTACAACATTTTTGTAAAGAACCTTTTCACTTCAGCTCTGTTAGTAAATCCCGAACTCTTTGCAGCTTCATTGAATTTCTTAAAAGACCTCCATGGATGTTGTTCGAATACTTCTTTCAAGCTCATTTATGTAAAGTTAAAGAGTTTAACCAACTCGTATCCAAGCGTGCATTGTTATATAAGGAGGCATATAATCTTTTCCATTACCTGCTGGGTCTGTAATACCAGCTACAACATGTGTATGATTTCCTGCAGTTCCACAGAAAATACCTGTGCTAACATCTTTGGGGTCATCTGAGATATCATATCTGTTCATTCCCTGTCTATTCGAACCCGCTGCAAGATTTATATAACCTCTTTTTGTTATTGAATGTGAATGGTTTCCTTCCACAGATGTTCTTCCACTGAACCTATGCATATGTGAAGGAAGGTTTTCAATACCTATTTTCTTTGAACCTCCCATCTTCATTGACTGCGTATTAGTGTAGAATGGAAAACTGTCAACTATTTCATACCATCTACCACCAAATAAAGTGTTTGGATTTATTGGATTCATAGACGTATAAACAGCTCCTATAGGATATATTAAATCATATATGCTCATAACTCTATAAACATATTCTAAAGAACTTATGTCATTAAATACCATTTGGAATGTATCTCCCGGATGAAATGTTGCATTTGTTCCACTTTTATAATGTAATGTTAGTTCAATAGAATTATCCAAGAAAAATTCAAAAGTATCTGGTTGAAGACCTCTAACAAATTCAAATGGAGTTGCTGGTTCACCATTTATAATTTCTGTTGTAAATGTCATTGTATCTGGTTTCGAAAATTTCTTTGTTAGTTCTGCATCCACATAAGTTTTGTCTGCTTTCTTATCTAACATTGCTGGTAGTTCATGTGCTTCAAAGTTTCTGGCATGACCTTCAATATTCCTGCAACTGTTATCTAAATTGTTTAGTGTATCTTTTACGCTTGTACTTGGATTCTCTAAAGGTGCACTTGAACCAAGGTCAAAGTTCATATTATGTCGTCAGCTCTAACAGTAGTGAAGGATTATGTGTATGGTTTTTGTCTGCTTTACTGTCTAAAGAAGTTTGAAGTTCATTTATATCGGAGATATTGTGTTTATGAGATTTCAAAACTTTGTTCGTTGCGTCAAGTTCATTTTTGTCAGCTTTACTTTTAATAGCATCTTCAAAAGTTATTTTTGCCTTAACTCTTAACATAAATCTTGGTTCAACTAATACACCGTTAACAAAGAAGTATGAAGCATAAATTTCAGCGTTATAACCAAATGTTTTGGTGCTATACCTGTTCATACTGTACAGTACAGT